AGCACCCTCTTACCTTCAGGTAGGCTTAATCAATCCTAATGATGTACATGAGCATCATACAAGGCAAATAGACAGTGGATGTTTACGTGTGCCTAGATTTCACACTGATTGTTATAAGTGTAGCCCAATTGTTTCTTCCATATTTGAATGGAATAAGCTAGATAATTCGTTGAGAACGGCTTCCTCTGTCAATTCATTTAAGAGATTGTTTAAACAAAGTTGTAATTTGTGAATGGCTCAGCCGTACATACACTACGTGCATGTTCTGTAATATTTACATGTCTTATTCACATAATTGCGACTTTTTTAATTAATATTTTCCTATTGACATTACTGCTTACTAGGTTAATGATATATGTTAATTTTGCAAACGAGTATTATTTTTGTAACTGTTCTGTATAAATGTTATAAACGATGTAAATATGTTCATTCAGGGCCCCATGGAAGACCACTACTTGCTGGTGAATGGGCTACCCTGTCAAAAGATCAGAAATAAATAAATAAATAAATAAATAAGGAAGGGAAGGGAAAGGGAAAGAGGAGAGAAAGGAAAAGAAGAAAAAAGTAAATGAAGAAAGGTAAGGGATATCAGTTGCAATTTTCCCGCCAACAAGGTGTAGATCAGAGAGAGGGGGGGGGGGGGAGAAAATGCTTCTTGAGATGCCTACATATCAGGGCCCGCGGAACGGCGGGATCGGGATCTTCGAGCCCCGCCCCCTCACTTTCTTTGAAAAAGTATATTAAAGAGAAATAGAAAGAGAGAGAGCGAGAAAGAAAAAATAGTTAACTGCCAGTGTCACATTATAATGGGATATCAAAATATGTTCATCTGACCATGATTAAATGCCTAAAACCCCAATGGCTCTGCCCCCTGGATTCCAACTAGGGCCCTAAGGCGGGCCCTTAGATGCTCATCTGACGGTCATTTAATGCCTAAAACCCCTGATTTCTGGGGGCTCTGCCCCCTGGACCCAACCAAGAGCCCTTAGGTGGGCCCCTTGATACTCATCTGACCGTTATTGAGTGCCTAAAACCCTTGAGATTCCGGGGCTCCGCCCCCTGAACCCCAAGCCAATTAGTGACCTGCCACTGTAATAATTAGGTATCAAAATAAGGCTCATCTGACCGTAATTAAATGCCTAAAACTTCCGAACTTCTGGGGCTCTGCCCCCTGGACCCCGCCTAGGGCCCTAAGGCGGACCCTTGAATGCTAATCTGACCGTAAATTAAAACCTTAAACCCCTGAGCTTCCGGGGCGGATAAGGTATCATAACATAATGTTCATCTGACCGCAGGCGAGTAGCCAGGGGGGCAATGGGGTGGTCCCCCCATAAACGCCGGCCAAAAAAAGAGAGAAGTGAAAAGGAAGAGGACGTAGGAAGAAAAGGGAATAGACAAAGAACATTTTTGAAATTCAGACAAGGATTAAGAGTCGAGAACGGGACAACGAATCGTCTTCTTTCTCTAATGAATTAATGAAACGTCAAAGCTTCCGCGCTTCGCGCGGGTGGGGGAAACTAAATTATTTTCGAGAGCGGAACAAATAATCGTCTTCATTCTCTAAAAAATTAATGAAACGTCGAAGCGGGGAGAAAACTGAATTTAGACAAGGATTAAGAGTCGAGAACGGAACAACGAATCGTCTTCTTTCTTTAATGAAACGTAAAAGCTTCCGCGCTTCGCGTTGGAGGGGGGGAGGAAACTGAATTTACACAAGGATTAAAAGTAATAACGTACAAAGAATCGTCTTATTTCGCTAATGATTTAATGAAACGTGAAAGTTTCCGCGCTTCGCGCGGGAGGGGGAACTAATTTTTTTTCGAGAGCGGTACAACAAATCTTCTTCTTTCTCTAATAATTTAATGAAACGTCTAAGCTCCCGCGCTTTGCGCGGGAGAGGGGGGGGGCTGAATTTAGACAAGGATTAAGAGTCGAGAACGGTACAAAAAATCGTCTTCTTTCTCTAATGATTTAATGAAACGTAAAAGCTTCCGCGCTTCGCGCGGCAGGGGGAAAACTGAAATTAGACGAGGATTAAAAGGCATAACGGTACCACGAATCGTCTTCTTTCTCTAATGATTTAATGAAACGTAAAAGGGTGGGGGGGGGAAACTAAAATTAGACGAGGATTAAGAGTCACAACGGTACAACGAATCGTCTCCTTTCGCTAATGATTTAATGAAACGTAAAAGCTTCCGCGCTTTGCGCGGTGAGGGGTGGAACTGAATTTAGACGAGGATTAAAAGTCATAACGGTACAATGAATCGTCTTCTTTCGCTAATGATTTAATGAAACGTAAAAGCTTCCGCGCTTTGCGCGGTAAGGGGTGGAACTGAATTTAGACGAGGATTAAAAGTCATAACGGTACAATGAATCGTCTTCTTTCGCTAATGATTTAATGAAACGTAAAAGCTTCCGCGCTTTGCGCGGTGAGGGGTGGAACTGAATTTAGACGAGGATTAAAAGTCATAACGGTACAATGAATCGTCTTCTTTCGCTAATGATTTAATGAAACGTTGAAGCTTCCGCGCTTCGCGCGGGAGTCGGGGGGGGGGGGGGGGGGGAACTGAATTTAGACAAGGATTAAGAGTCGAGAACGGTACAGCGAATCGTCTTCTTTCTCTAATATTTTAATGAAACGTCGAAGCTTTGGTCTAGTGGATACGTCCCCGGACTGTGGATCACATGGTTCGCGGTTCGAGTCCCGCTGCGGGATTAATGTCCGTCGGCAAGACCATCCCAGGTCGAAAATCTCATAGAGACCATTAGAAAAATGATATTGGTCTCTAATGGTTTCTGCTGGAGTCTATTGGTTTCTGTTGGACCCATATAATAGAATCCCATAGAGACCATTCAAACCACTGCAGAAACCAACAGAAACCAATAGGACCAATAGGAATAATGGAACCCAATAGGACCAATAGAAACCAAAAGGACCAACACTCAATATAGAAACCGATTGGAACCAATAGAACCAAAATCAACATTTGCCACTCACGACCTAGGTGAGGTTATTGCTAGAGCGAAATAGTGGCACCCATGCTAAGGTCAGGGTAAAATAGTCTGATTTCCATACCCTTGCAACGCATGTTGTACGTTTTGTGTCGTATCCGGACACAACCCCCTGGACATACACCCCCGGATAACCAACCCCAGTCAACTAACCCCTAGGACAACTACCCCCTAGGGCAACCACCCTCTAGGACGACTACCTCCAGACAACTACCCTCTAGGACAACTACCCCCGGACAACTATCCCCGGATAATTACCCCCTGTCGTCCTAGAGGGTGGTTACCATAGGGTGTAGTTGTTCTATAGGGGGTAGTTGACTGGGGTTGGTTATCCGGTGTGGATGTCCAGGGGTAGGTGTCCTAGAACTGTTTTGTGTTGCACAAAGATTCAATTTATTTAATTTTTGCCATTACAAGAAGTGGGTTATGATGTAGACAAAATGTTCATGTACCCTTTACAGCTCATTTTGTGCATGCTATTACCAAAGAAAAAAATGAAATTATTCAGTTAGTCACTCAATAGTGTCTGACAGGGAAGTCTAGAAGTAAACGGGGTTCCTTGCATAATTTGAATACTAGTATTACTAGGACACCGCTCACGTTAACATTTCACAAATAGGTCATATTACGTGACACATTGATAATTCCTGCAAAATTCTACAGAATTTGATGTTGGCTGCAAGTGGGACATAGTACCTTTAAAGGGGCAGTTCAGCCTGATAATAAGTTGGTTATAATAAGAGCAGATTTTTTTCGGGGGGTAATTATCTTTGAGGGTAATAATTGTCCACAGGGGATTATTTTCATAGGGGTGATTTTCCGGGGGGTAATTGTCCTTGGGGTTATTCTCCGGGGGGGGGGGGGGGTAATTTTCCGGAAGGGGGGGGGGGGGTAACTGTCTTTGAGGAGTAGTTTTCCGGGGGGGTCATTTTTCGGGGGGTGATTTCCCAGGTGGTAATTGTCCTAAAAAACCCGCGTGAGTCACATAATATTATTTTGTAGATTAAAATATGTCTACTGGTAAATCGATATTAAGTACATAAATATCTCGTTGAGGAATCACTGATTTAGTGTAGGTAGGCCTATTACAATAGTAGGTATAATAGCATATAAACAGTTACACCAAATAGATTGTTATTGGAGATGAAAACACTGTTTATTAGATACAAGTCTACAACCACCAACGTTGGAATGGCTGACAGAATGATTTGAATGATTGCCCGGGTGGACGGATATATCACCCCCTTACAAATCTCTTGCTGTCTATTTTCCACTAAGTTGGGCCGGTGTGGGGTAGCAGCGACGTAGCCGGGTCCATGCAGCCATAACTTAGGGGGCACTATATCATCGAGGGGCGCGAGCGTGGGGGGGGGGGGGGGGAATGGACCGATCTTATTTAATGAATTAAATTCGAGATAACAAGGATAGGGTCCTTTAATCTTCCTCTTCTCGTCCGCTAGCTCCTTTTCTATGTTTTTGCTGTTCGTCATTCAGAAAGAGAGAGGGAGAGAGAGAGAGAGAGAGAGAATGAGGGGACGAGAAATAGAGAGAAGGGGAGGGGTATGAGAGGGGAGGTATAAAATATTAAGAGGTACAAAAAATAAATAGACGGGCAGGATCGGAGAAAGACATGCAGACACGCGAATGGGTGTATGTGAGAGAGGGAGACAGAGGGAGAGGGTAGAACAGGAAGATAATATGTACATGTATTTATTTTGAGAGAGAGAGAGAGAGAGAGAGAGAGAGAGAGAGAGGAGAGAGAGAGAGAGAAGAGAGAGAGAGAGAGAGGGGGAGAGAGAGAGGGAGAGAGAATCGAGAGAATGAGAGAGAGAGAGAGAGAGAGAGAGAGAGAAAGAGACAGACACACAGAACATACAGCTCAACAAAATTACATAGCACACCCTTTACTATGCTATACCCCAGTATTCATAATGCATATATTACTGCATGGTTGGGGAAATATCATAACATATACTGTTAGAAATTTCTGTCAACACGGAACTATTATATTTGCTGTCCTTGGGATTCGTGCTGGTCCACTCACATACACATACTAGTACGGCACGTTGTAATAGTGAGTGCACAGGACATGATATATCTTCACGCATTGAACTAATTAGAGTGCAGAAATCTTTATTTTACACAAGTTTACAGCCTTTCTCGTCACATAATTCTCGTCGTACATTTGATTTCAAAAGTATAATTTCTGACAAACTTCAGCCATGGATAAGCTCAAGTCTATGGCATCTGGAGCGGGAACGTTTATCAACCGAACGGTCCAGGTGAGTATACCAGCTTATCTTATACTCGTAAAAAAAAATTAAAAAAAATAAATAAAAATTATGTACGCAACCGCGTTGAGTTGGCGAAATGTCTGCGTTTTTAATAAATAGCCTACGAGAAAGAGAATTGCAACAATAATCATATCGGCCCACTACTTTGATAAGCATACAGTTTCAGTAGGCCTACTGTGTTGAGATAGGCCTCGTTCTAATTAGTTCAATCCAATGTGTTCTGAATAAAAAAAAAAAGACATAGGCCTATAGCAAGTATAAAAAAAGGCTTATTTTATTATTGTCGTTTTGACTTCTATGTTGAGGCTCTGTGCATGTTAAAATGCACGGTTAACGTTTTGGGAAGCATGAAATAAGTAGGCCTACCCACAAAAATTATGTTTACAAAAAAGTTTGAAAATGACCATCAACATAGATTATATTCTTCATTTATTTTTTCTTATATAATTTGACGATGTTGATTGTTTCACAGCCATGGTAATATAGCTTGTTTATTAATTAATCGTCGTTTTTGTTGGACGAAACGTTTGGGAATGTTTGTAGTGAGCTCACTACAAACGTACCATATCACGTTACCCCCCCCCCCCCCCCCAGTTTTGCATTTTACAGCCTGGCGCGGTGGCACTGCCTGTACTGCGAGGGCCGTATAATAGCTATGCGTTGATCGAGGTCCCAATCGAAACATATCTTGAAATATAGGGCAATAACGCATTCGACTGGCCAGATACCCGTGCCCAGAGGCGGCTCTCCCGGGGGGGGGGGGGGCAGGGGGCACAGTGCCCCCACGTGTTTAAGGACCCGAAAAGTGCCCCTTTTTACATAGGAACAGTGCCCCTTTAAATATATAAGAAGTGCCCCTTTTACTTAGGAATAGTGTCCTTTTTACTTTGACAAGTGCCCCTATTAATTTGTAAAAGGGCCCCTTCCCCCTTTTCATATCTGATAAGTGCCCCTTTTAGTTTGACACGTGCCCTTTTTCCTTCGACAAGTTCCCACTTTCCTTTTCAAAAAGTGTCCATTCTCCATTCTCATAAGTGCCCTTTTTAAGTGCCCCTTTTCAGGTACGAAAAGTGCCCCTTTTCACTTACGATAAGTACCCCCTTCTCCTCTGATAATCGCCCTATTCAAATCTGAGAGGTGCCCCTTTTTCTTTGACAGGTGCCCCTTTTCTTTTGTGAGAAGTGCCACTTCCCCTATTGATAACTACCCCTCGAATAAGCGCACCTTATATTTTCACATTTGCCTCTTTACCTTTCTAATAAGTGCCCCCATTAAAAAAGAGCCCCTTCCCCTTCCCCTTCTCACAAATGCCCCTTTTCATCTCTGGTAAATGAGCCTTTTCAAGTACGAGAAGTTACTCCTTTTCACTTCAGATAAGTACGTGCCCCCTTCACCTCCGATAAATGCCCCTTTAAAATCTGATCGGTGCCCATTTTCTTTCAACTAATGCATGTTTTCCTTTATTTTAAGTGCCCTTTTTTTTTACTTACATAAGTGCCCGTTTTCATTTCTGGTTATTTCCTCTTTTCAGGTGCGATGATTACCTCTTTTTACCTCTGATAATTTCCCTTTTAAAAATGATACGTGCCCCTTTTCCTTGCTAATAAGGGACCTATCCCCTTTTCATAAATGTCCCTTTTCACCTCTTATAAATGCCCCATCAAAATCTGATAGGGACCCCCTTTCCTTTTCTCATGACAGACTTTTTTCATCCCTGGTGAGTGCCTCTTTTGAAGGTGCAAGAAGTGCCCCATTTTCACCTCTGATAATTACTCTTTGTACTTTGACACATGCTCCTTTTCTTTTGATAAGTGTCCCTTTTTCCTGTCATCATTATACGCCCCCTAATTTCAAGCGACTATAAGAGTATTTTTCCTCCAAAAGTCGCTCGCTAAGCTCGCACTCATTTATAGATGATATACTCATGTTACTTATAAAAGGTGTTTTCAGTCTTCTGATAACGCCATCAGGATTGGGTTTTTTCCTCTGATAAGATGTAATTTCTTGCACTACAAAAATGACTTCACAAATATCAAAAATTTCCTTGCATGCACGCTAATTCGCTCGCACGTAAAAAAATTGTCAGACCATCACACTCAACTGCAAAGTAGCAACATCTTTTATGGTGTATAAAGTGAAGGAAATATTGAAATCATCCCTAATACTATAATTACAATGTAGGGGCCTATACCAATCTCGCTTTGAGATTTCCCTTAATTTGAATTAGGTGCCCCTTTTTTCCCAGAGAGGGCCATTTTTTCTTTGGAAGTCGCTCGGCCGCCCCTGCCCGTGCTTCTTGTTATTATTTTATGCCGAAATTTAATCCACTGAAATGGTAGCTAGACCTATATATATATATATATATAGACTATGACACTGTGTTTATCAAAATGGATTAATATTCATTCGAATCACGAGAGAGGGCGGGGTCACTAGAGGTCATTTCCTCTTGCAATATGGCTATGGACAACGTCAAGAAATTTGCTGGCCAAGCTGGCACTTTTCTGTCAAGAGCCAAACAGGTAAACCCCACCCTTTTCGATTTTGTATTGATTCTAACATTTAGTATGACTTGTATTTCTAAAATGAAAACATAAAGCTGCTGAAAAACAGAAATATCGATTTATTTCTGTCTCGTTCGATCTGCCTGGTGATGCATAAAATCTGATTTCAGTCCCATACGATGATATTAGTGTCAAGACTGGATGTGAAAACTATTTGAAGGCTCGCTCATCATCGTAGATTTGAATGTTATATTTCCTGTAGGTTTATCTGTTGATTCTATTGAAATTCTTGATTTGTGACAGAGCTGGTTATGACTTATGCCTATGGTATCTAAATTTGCTGACATTGTGATAAATTTGATGAAAACGAACATTCACCATTTCACTCTAGCAAAAAGCGTTGCATGCAATTGCAAATGATCGATCATCTAGCCTACATGATCATGGATAAAACAATCCATTTTTGAACTTTTATACTGGTAAAATACTCTACTATTACAACATAATTTGGACTATCAAATCATTAGGTTGAATCATATAGGTCTAGCCTACCATTTTTTATACGTGACGGTACTAAAACATGAAAGTCTAGAATGGAAAGAAATTTCGTAAAGTTTAAAGCCCTTCCGCTCCCTTGAGAGACGACTGCTTAGTTCCCTCCTCTTGATATCCATAAAATAAATGAGCGGGCGTTGTGGACACTCCACCAGTGACGTCATTTGAAGCAGTTGTGCTGCTTGTGCAATATCCGACGGGTGGCTGTCTCGCATACGCTGATAGCCTGCCGCTGACCTGTCTTAATAACCGATCGCAACGATAAACACATACAAAGTAATAGGGCGTTGAGGTAACCCTGCATTTTGAAAAAACGTCATAAAATTAGAAAATAGCGGAACATAGCTGAAGACGGTTGGCCCAATTGGTAAAAATAGGCTCAAATATCTGGAAAACCAAGGAAATTTTCACCAAACAAAACTTGGAAGTTCCATTCATTACTTATTTGTAATCAACATTGATTCATTAAATTGTTTATCATTTAAAAGTATCGTACAGCAGATTTTACAAAATATTGCGTGAATGTACTGCAGTACAGTGTTGCTCGTCTTAATACACAGCCAGGATAGTAATGTGTGGCTGGAATGGGTATCCAGATCCTGGCTGATGAATTAAGAATTTATCCCTAAACGGGCCTGGCCCACACCACACTGCAGTGGGTAATCTTTGTTGCATGAAGTAGCACTTGATAAGAAGAGTGATTGCTATTTTGCTTACCTTCCATGTGTTTGTGATTATAATGAGTTAATGTGCGATTTACATGTTCACAAGAGTTTGCGATATTGGTTCTGTGGCTTCTACACACAAAAATGTTTTTGCTTTGCTGATATGATACTTACTTTACTATATGATATTATTACTTATACTACATGTATATAATATAATACTTAATTTTACTGTGTAAAAGGTCTGTGTGTAGGTTTTAATACCAAAATCAGGCTTTCAAAACGGGCCTAAAAGTTGCTAAAGGTACAATGTTAGTTTCTAATAATCATGTACATGTACATGTAAAAGTGGACTTTACCAAAGGATTCTAAACTGAATAGTTAAATATAGTTTCCCCAAATTTTGGATGCAAAACGTTACCAGTACTACAGACTGTTTTCATATTGTATGTATGTTTGTAATTCACTTGATTGTCACAGTATACAGAGGAGAAGCTGGGGAATGCAGAGAAGACAGAGTTAGACGCCCGCTTTGAGAATTTGTTGCAGAGGGCAGACAGGACTCGACTATGGACGGAACAGATCCTGGCAAAAATGGGAGCCGTACTGGAACCAAACCCAAGTAAAATACCACATACCATCACAATCTTGTCACTGAAAGCCTATGATCATCAATAAACAAGAAATTTTTATACTGTAGATTGTAAATTATCATGGTCTTTGTAGAATTCTACTCAAAATGTTATACCCAGGATTTTTCCAAACTTTAACTTTGTGAGTTTACTAAATGGAATTTAATTTTATGCAATTTTTTTGTTTATTTGTTCTGGTGTTCTTGTTGTTTAAACTTGCTTTGAATGGTCTTTCTGTTCATGGATGTGGTATATTTATCAGGCTTATGGGTAAAAAAATAGTCTTTGTAACCAATATACTTGTTTGATTTAGTTGCTGATGGATTAACCAATTTTTTATGACATGTTTTGTACCATAAGTAACCTTAAACAGACATACAGTATGTATGATATTCTGTTACATGAAAATGTGAAATGCTCAGAAGTTAAGCAAGGCCCAATTTTCACCTCCCAAAGATTCCAGAATGGAGGACTTTGTCAACACAAAGCTAGACCGTCGCGCCAGAGACAGAGAAAGCAATAGTGAGCAGTTTGGGAGTGCAATGATTGACGGAGGGAATGAGCTTGGTCCTGGAACACAGTATGGTAGGTTAAAGTGTTGGTCAGGGGTCATTAATTGACCTCTCGATATATAATCTGTGTCTGATTCTATGGGGAGGGTGGGGCCTATGAAAAGGCCTCAGCACTCAAAATGATAAGCAGTGTCAATTGGCCATTTAAAAATAAAACATATTGACTATTTCTGGGTAACCCAATAAATTGTGTCTTTCTTCTTAAATTTTTTAAACAAATCATCAATAAACTGAGCTTAAATATCATTGAATTATGTGTTTGTAAAGTTTTAAAATCAAACTGAAATGCATCAGTTATTTCAATCTAAATAACCAATGCTTCACTACAAAAATCTGGATTTAAAGATTTCCTCATGCATTTTGGGGGCAATACCTCCTGGCCAAATTAGTGCAGATAGGCGTTAAATGGTGTTAAAACTTAAAACCCCATTATTTCATGATTTTCCAAGATGTAACATTACTTACATGTACATGTAATATTACTATCCAACATTTTAAAATGTCGCTTAAAATCAAAAGGATCAATAACTGAAGAAATATAGTGTTATCTAACTTTGCCTATTTGGCGTATGATGGCAGATCAAAGATTACTTATACAATTTTACATTTCTTTTTATTGTAATGTTACTACTCAAAATTTGCCCCAGGCAATGCTCAAATTATTCTATTTTCACACAAGTTATAGGTCTACACAAGAACTACCCTTGGTTTTATAATAGCAATTGAACATGCCCAATTTTGTTTTCTTTTAATGAGGCCAAAAGTGAACAATTTCTCTTGAAAATGGAACTAACTAATCATGGAATCACCCTTTTATTCATTTGCTGCTCCAGGGGCAACACTGATACAGGTCGGTCAGAGCCAGCGCAAAATTGGACAGATTCAGAGAGAATACGTGCAGTCATCGCTGACCAACTACATCGTACCACTCAGGACTTTCCTAGAGGGGGATATGAAGACCATTACGGTACGACATCTAGCTTTAATAGAAAATGAATAGAATGATGATGATGATAATGTATTGATGGCAATAATGACAGGAATAGCAACAATAATGACAATGATTATGATAGCAAGATGGTAATTTTGATTCTGAGTGGATAATGTGCACAATAAAGTGCAGAATCATAATAGAATCTGGTAACCGGGTAGTAATACTGAAAGTACTTTGCTCAGTTAAGTTGTAGCTGATAAAGTGCAATGTTAGAACAGTTCTTTTATCAATGATAATAGTTTATTATGTTATGAAGACAATGCAAATGACAGTATTTATGGTGAGGGCGATGATAAAGATGAAGGTAATGACGATGATGGTGATGATTGATAGCATTATTTATAATAGTAGTCATGTTACAATAATACAATCTTGAGTAATGCTTTAATATCAATATGTTGAGGTTATACCGGTACCTGCAAATTTGGTCCAATCGTGCACTTATTGGACCTTCAATTTATTAAACATCCTGAGAAATGTCCTTGATGTTACAGAAAGAGCGCAAAATCCTGGAAAATGTTCGTCTGGACCTTGATGCAGCGAAAGGCAAAGTCAGAAAGGCCCGATCTGCTGAAGCCTCAAAAGCAGTAAGTACATGCCTTTGATACTGATGAAATATATCACCTGTTAGGAGCCAGTAGGGCATTAACACAGAGTTAATGCCCTACTGGCTCTTAACAGATGATATAAGCATGTTTGATCTACTGAGAGCTGGGGGGTGTTTCACAAAGATCCTAAGTAGAACTTAACACTAAGTTGGACTTAAAAAATATGGACAGCCATTGGAGCCTTAAAATGAAATATATTCAAAAGCAGAAATTCAAGTATTTTAGACTTTTTATAAATTCCACATCAAGAACATAGAATCTCCCATGATAATAGAAAATATGAATGATTTGAATCAACATTTTATGCCTTTTAAAGTAACTTTTACAAAAAGGGATGCTAATGGCTTTCCATAATTTTTAAGTCCAACTTAGTGTTAAGTTCTACTTAGGATCTTTGTGAAACACCCCCCTGGAATGATGTTAATCCTATTCAAAGCTACATGTATGTACATGTAACTGATAGTGACATGCAAATATTTCTATGCGTAATGGGCTTTACAAAAACATTTAATTATTAATATTAGCTGATGGTGCACGTAGGCACATGATGGGAGGAAAGAGTAGACTCCAAGGATAACCATGTATAACATGATATGTATACAAGCTATCAGGAAGGCTTGATATTATTGATTATAATTATATTGTTTTTCTACTCGAAATAACATTGTCCACATACTGAGTAAATAAGTTCACCTTAGCTGGCATCCATTCTCTAACTTGTTCTTCAATCTTGTCCATAAAATCTCTTTCACAAATTTGCTAAATAACTTTAATAATGAAAGCATATTTGCATTTTAATGTTAAGATATTTTCTACATTCAATGGTAGAGTAAATGGGAGGAGGGACATACATTTAGTGTTTGTTCCCTGTCTCACATCCTTAACATAATTTTATCATGTCTGTAAAGAAATGCTTTGAACATATTCTTAATTATATTTTTGCCCAGGTTGTAGCAACAGTAAGTACTATCCTCTATAGTAATATGGTCATCTCTAATTGGAATGTCACTACTTCATACATGTAAAATTATTTCCTTTTAATACCCATTGCGACACTTTACAGTATTTTTGTTTGCATGAATTTGCCCTATTTAGAAATTACTTTTTCATGATCATTTCTCCATTATTTCCCATATATTGCCCTACACTAGCCTAACCATGAAGAAATGATAAAGGCTGTAAGTTCTTATTGTTGATTTATTATTGGACTTTCAATGAGTATTATGTGTAAAGAAGAGTGCATTTTGAATTAACTGTGAACTTGTGCAAAGTTGTGGAAAAGGAATTTTTTATTTTATTAAAGAGAACAGTCATATTTTATTTGCTTATGAAATTATGATGTCATATGACATTCTGACTCGTTAATTACTTTGAATTATATTTAGACAAAAAATGATAATAGAATTCATGGAATGATAACGTGTGGATGCAATAATGTTTTGTTCAGTTGTAATGCTTGCGTAAACCTAGGATCTTCAAAACAGCTGTTTTGAAACTTTCAATTATAATTTCAAAACCCTCACCGTCTTTAGCAATAGTTTTGTATTTCTCAGTATCCCTCCTTTGCACTGGCCAATCCCTTTTTATCCTATTGTTTATCATTTATTATGGGTTAATTAAATTTATTTTTTCAGTGTACCTTTGAAAAGATATACATATGGTGAATATGCTTGGTGATTATCTTTTAACTTGCCATTCTTGTGTTTGTTGAATATATCTAAGATCTGAACTATATAGTAAAAGGTTTTTCAAAGCTTTTCATTTTAGATTCATTCTGGGATATTTAAAAAAAAATCTCCATGACAAACAAGAAATTAAAAAATTAAAAGGACCCTTCAATGATCAAAATATCTTAGCATTTGCAGTTTGGGGTGAAAGTAAGTACCGGTAGTCCGAGGAACGGCAAATCACTGATAATTTATTGTTGGTCACATATTGTTGTTCAAATTGGCAACAAAAATATTTCAATTTATTTCATATACATGGGTAGGGATGTTGTCAAAATGTTTAACAAATGGCCAGTTTTTATAGAAAAAAAAATGATTGTTAATTTCTCAAACTGTTGACAATTTAAGGATTTAATAACTAATATTTCGTTTTTAAACTCCTAGTATCAAATACAATATAGTCATGAAACGAAAATGGATGCTTTGTGTGCAGAAATGTTTGCCCTTTCTACTTGTGTATCTGGTTTATTTGTTTGGGCTTTGAAATCAAAAGTTATTGCCAAACTGCAAAATGTGGAATAATAGTAACAAAAGGGTTAAGGTAGCCTACTAGGGTTAGGGGTAGGGTTAGAGAACATCAAGGTTGGAGCTGAAAGGGACAGCTGTTCAGGAGAATGTCTGCATGCTCTCCATGTACATGAATCTTGACATCCTTTTATATGTTTGCATTATAGCAGGGCTCTCTTGATTCAAGTAATTTAAAAAAGTTTTTATATGAATCTTCTCAAAGCAATATGAAAATCAATGTACATGTAGACAGGTGGATAAGAGTATAGCATTATGAAGGGAAAAAAAGATTACTCAATATGTGTATAAAAGTAGACCAAGGTTTAAAGGGACTTGTAACATTGTTCAGATGAAAGAAAATGGTGCTAAGGTAGTGACTTCAATGCTAGATGTACAATTGAAGATAATCTGAAAGTTTGAGTGAAAAAAATTTGGGAAAAACTGATCTGATTGATTCCTTAATTCTGCCAACTATATCCTTACAATTTATTTACATTTAAGTGATTGTAAATTGTCACACAGCAATGAATTGGCTCTCTATACCATTCCAGACATTTAAGTGTTGAAAGATTTTAAAAAGCATGTCTTCTGTCTTATTTTTGTGGAAAAACGGTTATGAAAATACAAAAAGGTTGGGGGAATTTACTGTTATAAAGGGTGTCGCACAGTGACACCTTCAAAGAAAACCATAAATATCTTTGTGTTTTGAGAATTTGTTCGGGATTTTTTGCATGTTAGAGGGATATTACAGTAAAAGGAATGTAATAAGTAACATTTCATAAAAAAAGTACGCAGTTTTTTTCCAGTCTTTTTCATCAACCTTTAACAATGACAATGTTACTGAGTAACTTTAGGGATACGTGGCTTGGAATTGAATGTATAAAGTAGGTAAGAAGGTTGGAGTCCATTACATAAAAAACAAACAGTTAACAACATTATGTAGCAATTCCATATCGAATTTCATTTAAAATGTAAATCATGATAATTAGATCATACTCTTTATACCAAACACCTTCCTCCTTAAAATCCCCATATACTGCCAAAGCATGCTTGTGAAGAGTGCCATATGATGTGTATAGACTTTGTGAAACAGCTGGTTCAGCCTCAAATCAATTAATCAATGTACTTGTATTATAACAAGAACAATAATATGCTTGTGATTCATGTTAGCTTCTCCAGGGGTGCTAAAGATACAGATTGAAGTAGCATGTACATGTACATGTATTCAATCCATTATTGCTGTTGTTTTTGTTACCTTTAATAGTTGTTGACTTGTTGTTGTTATTATTGTCATTATTATGATTATTATTATTATTTATATTATTATTAATAATAATATTATCTTCATCATTTCTGTATTTTTGATATATTTTGCAGTCAAAGACTGCTTTAGAAGATTATCTGTCATATTATTTTATTCAATCTTTGTTATTTTTTAGTTTGATACTTCATCTGTGTTTGTGCTGCCTCTTTAATTTTTTCCAACTTTTAATGTTATTATTTTATTCCATCATCCTCCGCCAATAGTTTGAGTTTATCCTTCTCGTATCTCCATCATATATTTATGTCTCTATTTCATATTTGTGAGTCTTTTTGTGTCATTATCTCTTTCTGAATCTTTCAATACCCCTCTCTCTCTCTCTCTCTCTCTCTCTCTCTCCTTGTTTCACTACTTCCTATCTTTCTACTGTCTTATTTACCGGTATGCCAGTTTTTTTAGTCTTTCTCCATTTCTCTCATTTTCTCATATTAAAAGGTTGATATCTTAGAATGTTCAAAGGTTTATATCCATGCATGAACAACATCCTTCAATATAAGTGTAATGATTATCAATATGATATGTTATTCTCTTATATTTTGGCGTTTATGAATGATTTTATTATTGTTCTGTGTCCTTGTGTATACACATGTGCAAAAACGTGATGTATAATTATTTTGTGTTTTTTTTTTAAGTAGTAGTAAAACAATTTGTCTGTGACAAACTACCTGCACTTTAAACATATTTTTTAAATTTTTATTGAACTAGGACAGACATGCTTGTAAAGTGCTGTAATTTATCCAGGTAGTAATGTAATAGCATTATTTAATCAGTCATAACATTTCCTAGAATATTTGATTTTATGGCATTTTAATGGTGTCAGTATTAAAGGAGGTCAAAATTTCACAGTCACGTTTGTAAAAGCTGGTTTTTCTAGCTTGGCAATTATAAAATTTGAATTCCAGTTTTTTAAAATCTCAAGTGATATTGTCAAGTTAATGCAGCTTAAAGGTATAGACCAGTATTGGAAATGCCCCAATTTCAAAAAATTGAAATGGAAGCTCTTATTACCAATCATGTGAAAGAATATGTTTTGACTAATACATGATAAAAATTTTGCCGGGAAACCGCCTTCTAATTGATATATTTGGTAAATTAGGTAAATTTGGTAAAAATATCTACACGGTCTGTGAGAGATAAACGCATGTGTCGCGCACATGTGCGTATAGTCCCATATACATGTACATCTTTCTGTGTACAGTGCTTGTAACTTTACGAAGACTGGGCCAAATTTCTTATCATTTTGATGATTCCAGAACCTTGCAGTACACACCAATACTTATATGCTAGATGATCAACCTTTTCTGATCGATTCCACAACGTTTCTTTCACAATGCAATCGCATGACCATAACTGATCTTTACCTTTAATAGTTTCATTTCATTTATGAATCTGTATAGCAATGCTTGCTTACTAATATCAATGAATCATTGAAGTTGTATTCAACAAATCTTGGGTTTTTAGCAAATTTCAGGTCTGTTCACAAGACCATAGGGGTTGAAAGCACTGTGGTATATTAATAATAAATAATATGGATATTTAAATGTATATAGCGCTGGTATCTGCCAAGCTCTGATGCTCATGGCGCTTTACACATTACCCTGGTTATAGTGTAGCTGCCAAAGTAACTAGCGCTCAAGCATATCAGGTACCCATTTACACCCGGGTGGAGAATGGCAAATGTAGATTAACATCCTGCCACAGGACATTAGTGCCGCGGCGGGACTTGAACCTCGTACCTTGTGATCTGCAGTCGGGTGACTTATCCACTAGACCACAACACCTCCAATGAGGGCTCTTGGCTCTTTACTCGTCCTAGGTGAATTCAGTGCCTGAATATCATTTTGACTGCAAGGTGCCTGAATGTACATGTATCAAAATATATAGAAATTAAATTTTTACAATGCTTAATTGTTTGCTTCATTCGCTTGGAACATTTAGAAAGAGAATGAATTGCCCTAACATCCTCACATTACTGTTTCAAGATGACCAAATATATGATTTTTGTTATTCATGCATTTATATGTTTCGATTATAAAATGATATTTCAATAATGTAATTTTTATGTAGAAAAAAATATGTCTGTACACTGTATGTGCATAAACATTACACTTGACAAGAACCAGAGCGATGCAAAATGAATCTTCTGTATTGAATTTGGGATTTCTTAAAAGATTGCAATGCTATAAAAAGGTTAAGGGTATCTTGCTTCCTAGTTTGAGTAAGCAGAATATGATGTTGCCATGTAAAAAGGTCTTGTAAACCATTTACTTTATATGCTGGCATAATATTATAACTAGTGCTGTGGTCGTGTACCTGTACACGCACGAACTACCACTACACGTGTAGAAAATTCAATTCACGGATAAACGGGGGAAAACAAATCCCCTTTTTTCAGCATTATAAATTGCTGAAGTCAATATTTTACAAAAATCTCTGTCATCAGTTTAAAAGTAAAGTTTAAATTCCAATGCTAAATAATCATTTCCATACACTGTACAATTTTGATCCAATGCCATCCAGTCTCTTCTCTTGTCGTCATGCAGACAATATCATTCATTGCGGTCTGACTTTTCCACAAGCGCGATGGTTTTGTGTGCAATACCCTTAGTACAGTAACAACCTTTCTGAGAAAATCCGAAGGTTGTGCAATGTTTTCCCTGAGAATGTGCGCTGGATTGCTGGTCTTATGTGGCTGAAAAACTGTTTTTGTTTTTGGTTAATTTCATTCATTGCGGTCTGACTTTTCCACAAGCGCGATGGTTTTGTGTGCAATACCCTTAGTACAGTAACAACCTTTCTGAGAAAATCTGAAGGTTGTGCAATGTTTTCCCTGAGAATGTGCGCTGGATTGCTGGTCTTACATGGCTGAAAAACTGTTTTTGCTTTTGGTTAATTTCATAACTGTGTACATGCACGGATAAACTAGCCGTTTACACACAGAGGAAATTTCAGGGTCATTCACAGCACTAACTATAACTATTTATTGCGGTCTTTGTCTTAATTACCGGTAGACTGTGTATACAGGCTGAAATATGTTGACTAGTCCCAGGCCGGCAATATCACTATTAGACTATACTGTACATGCCTAAATGTAGGTCAATCAGCTAAATATATTTTGTTTGACTTTTTGTTACAGCTTATGGCTGGTTTGTGTACATCAACCCCTTCCATCCGGCCACAGAAAATTTTAAATGTTGTACAGTGACTTTAAGACTAAGAATTCCTTTTCTTCCCTTCTTCTTGAACCACCCCCTTGGATGTCACTAGACTGTATTTCACTCAATTTGAACAAAAGTTGCACAATTTCCTGCTTGGAGACGCATGTTATTTAAGAGTTACGTCGTTTTGATCTTTGATAAAGGCCTTGTTATCGAATATATGTTTTATATCTTTGTGTTACTATGTATTCAGGCTGAAGCAGAACTTCGCAAGGCCCAGGCAGATTTTGATAGACAGTATGAGATAACTACGTTGCTCCTAGAGGGTATCACTAGTGCACATGTAAGTCTAAATGTAAATTTACCTCCCCCCTCCCCCTTCCCCCATCCCTCTAAATTCCCCAAATATCACAGAGATCACATGCACATACATGTATACTCTAAAATACTGAAAAATTGGACTCTGTATGAATAAAAAGTCGTCCTGTAACAATTTGAAAAGACATCTACTAAGAACCAGAAGTACATTCACACTTGATATTTAACACAATGTTCCCCTAATGGCCCTCAGCAGGATATCATTCATTCTCTCATATTCAACTCGATTACACTCGGTACATTGTAGTATGGTTAGGAATTGATAATACATGTATCTTGATTTATTGTGACTCCAAAGAATTAGTTTAATAACTATCCAAGCTATAGAAAATAATTTTTATATGAAGAAAATAAAAAAAGGTCTACATGCATTAATTGTACACTGAATAATAAACAGAAGGGATTATCAAGTGGGGAACATGCAAATTCTGAAATTCAATTGGGACATTGCAAAAACTTATGACTCGTTGAATTTAGACATTTAAATCTTCTGCAATTATTTCAAGAGCACATTCCTTTTTTTTTGTTGGGAGGGGGGGGGGGGGGGTGGGGGAAATGGATTAAAGATAAAATGTCTGGGCCTTATAACCATGGATGCAGTGAATTACAGATGATATTTGCGCACTCAAGACATTTATTGGAATGTGAAGAGGTATTTACTCATTACGATTGATTCTAAATATCCTGGCCCTCTTGACAATCCTGATCTTGTCTAAACAGTCAACTCACTTGGAACGTTTGAAGGACTTTGTGGAAGCCGAGCAGACGTACTACGCTCAGTGCAGCCAAACCATGACTGAGCTACAGCAGCAACTTGGAAAGTAAGTCATGATGCAGAGAGTAGAGTCATCACATAAGAAGTGGGGGGGGGGGGGGGGGGGCAATGCGGTATATAAATATTTGTTTGATTTTGATTGGTAATGGAACAGGGAGAAAAAAACCTGTTGGTTGATTTTTTTGTTGTTGCTTGTTCAAAATAAGTTGTAGGCCAAATTTGTCCAGCTTGATCCAACAGCACCCCCCTTCCCCCTTTACCCCCAATTTAAAATGATCGTTCAATGCTGGTAGTTTTCTGAAATAGGGGTTCTCTATCTGGAAAACTGCTATCTATAGAAAAGCCTTCAAATAAATTTTAGTCCAATTATTTTTGCTATGGTGATGGGTTTGAGGTTGATGCTGAAGGCAACTGCCTGTATTCAACTTGATTTTTTTCTTTTCTTCTAATGACGAAGGTTATAACTTACAACTGAAAGCTATGGTAGTTTTAGTTGAAACTGACGAAGGTTATAACTTACAACTGCAAGCTATGGTAGTTTTAGTTGGTAATGCTGTGAGGCTCAGCTAGTGGCTTCTAAAAACTAAATATATATTTTTGTAAACAATGCACAGGGAATAAATTGTCTATAGTTTATTGTATAGCTTCACGAGTCATTATGACAAAGTATGCTTGCAGAGCTCTGTAACATTTTGTATCATGGAATTAAATAAGAAAAAAAAATACTGGTAAATAATATTACAACAGAATTTTTTTTTTTAAATCGATGTATCTGTAAGAACCAGCCTTTATCACAAATCTAAAAATGGAATACAAGTTAATGTTTTCTTATTTTATCATTATTTTTTTAATTAAGTAAAACGGATACATCTGTAGGAATTGCATGAATTACAAGTTACTATTAAACTCTGCTGAATGTAGATCATAACATTTCCTCTGAATATATTTTTGCTTTCAACTTTTAAAATATATTGCATGGCGGGAATTTTCATTCACTTTGCTCCTGTTGCTCAACTGCATGAAAATCCAAAGATGGCAAAGTTGCATACATACATATACATGTACACCCATATTAAATATGATGCATGTTCAATGCTTTGCTCTTATCAAAAACACATTCAACCTCATTGTTAATCATGTCTTTCAATTCAGTTACAATGATTAATTCTCAAATTTTGCATGATTCATAAATGTAGAAGAAAAAAAAGAAGATGTTTTTTACTATGCAATTTCATGATTATGTCAAGTAAGGTGCACTTTAACAAAATGTGGCCTAAGATTGCAAACACTTTATTTCATATGTAAGTCTAGATTCATTAACAGTTTGTGCATTAGTTGACTACTGAATTCTCTCCTTCCCATAGACTCAGTTGATTGATTGATTGATTGAACTTGTATAGCAGCCAAATGCTGAAACAAATTCACTTTACACAGGATTTTAAAAATGCATTAAAATACAAAACATTGAAAAAATGGTTTTAAAAAAATACAGTAAAAATGCACAACAATATACAAAACAGGAATAATATTGCAAACACACAAAAAAAAATCAACAAGGAAATGGAAAAAGACAGGGAAATGAAAATGAGAGACGAAGTAAAGCTTGAAATAGAAGAAGAGAGAGAAAGTTAGGTGAAGTAATTAAAATTATTTAACACAGAACAATTGCACATTATATTTACACAGGTTTGAGAGTTAAAATAGTCATGTGTTCAAAATTAAGAAGGTTTGGAGAAATGTTTGGCTATGTACACTGACATTTAGAATAGCAACATAATTTGAACCAACGATGAGAGATTTTTAATAATTGAAATACATTGCAACTGATTCTAAATGTTAACGTCTAAATTCCAGTTATTATAGGAACTACCTGGTTTATTAGCCAATGATAAATAATCATGATTAAATGAGTAAATTCTGTGCATTATTGTACTAATTGGTGGTTTGAATGGCAATGCTAATAATTATAATAAATATATTGGAATTGGTTCTACAATTGTAAGTTCTAACTGCCATTATTATTTACTCTTATCATGTATCCCATTTAAGAATGGATTTTCTAACACAGAAAAAATTACTTACTACAATATGTATGCCTGTTGTTAGCCGCTAATTTTGAGACGTCTCATCTGTTGTGGGCCATTGGTTCCCACCCCCATAAACCATACTGATTTTCCAATAAATCACAATTTTTTATATCGTACAAGAGTTTGTCAAATTGGCAACAGCCGATTGTGCTGTGATCTTCTTCATATTGGATATAATTTTGTTTGCATCCAAATTAAAGAGCCTTATATGGCTCACCTTACTTATTATTTTATTATTTTTAGAGTGAATGTTGGATATGAGGAATTTGTCTATGAAAACAGAAAAATCATTGACAAATCTTGTTTGTAATATTTGAGAAACTCCTCACTCATGAATATTCAAGGTCATCTATTGTTTTAGAATCATAGCACATTCATTTAATAAAGGATTGAGAATACGATCTGAGCAATGGGATCTTAACATACAAAGAAATACATTTGTAACATGGTTGTGTTTCACCCAAACAATACAAAGCGCTCCCCTCAAAGCTACATCACACGTTGCTGAACAATAACAATAACATTGCAGTGTACATGTACAAAATGTATACTGCTTTACGGTTTTAATGACAATGCATGTCTGGTTGCCTGGCTACCCCAATCTCCCTTTGAATAATGAATGTTATGGAAATGCATGGTATATTATAAAGAGAATGATGAGTACCAGTCATGAGGTTACATTGTGAGATATGCTGCCTAGAAGCAATCAGGGAAAGATTGATTATGTGGTACACAACTGATGTAGATACTGTGAAGTTTTAGAATGATCAAAAGGAAAATAAATTAATCCAATCTTGCTGAAAATCACACACACTGTACAGAAAGATTCTGATATGTCTTGTCATATTTCAAATATGAAAGCATTTTCTAAAACATTTGTGTACACTGATATAATAAGACAAATAAAAAAGCTCACAAATTATTTCTCGCCTCTACTACATGTGAAACTCAACCTTCTCTTTAAAATGGAAAATGTAATCCTTGTTGGGAGCATGACTTGTATGTATTTAAATGGCTTGTATCTATAGCACTGCATAGCATCCCAAATCTATGTTTCTATGTATGCAGCATTCCAGGTACAATGGGTGGTATCAGACCGCCCCGCCCTGTCTCGGGTCCCCCACAGGGTGTGGCCACCGCCACGCCCACGCCCTCAGCCCCACCCCTCGATGCGATGCTCCCAGAGGATAAGTCTCGACCGCAGAAAGGGGTCCGGAAAGCCAAAGTTCTTTACGATTACGATGCGGGCGACGATTCCGAACTATCTGTTCTTGCCGATGAGGTATGAATGCCCACTATAGAGGGAGCCTGTTAGACATCTAACCTACTAACCCCATTTATGATATAGTGTGTTGAGTTTGTTAGTCGATATAATACCCTGTCAGTTTATGTCAGTTTGAAAGAGTGACCCTTCTTCACTTACAAACCATAGATAATTCTCGGCTTTCTGTCTCATTTTCCCAAGTTTGTATTCAGATAATTAAAATATAAAATAGTTTTAGGATTTTAAAGAAGGTCAAAGGTCAAGTAGATATCTGCCCCACCTGTCTCTCTTAGAGGTATACTTTTTATTTTTACAATAAATTGGAATATTGGATCCATGTTGTGGAATAAAATTGTATAGTCTTGCACTTTGGTTGGGGGAAGTCCATTTCTCCTGCTTACTTGGTAGAATACAAAATTACCGGTATGAACGATAAATTGATGTCCCATCTATTAGGTCTTACATTTACAGCATGAACATATCTGATGGATAAAAAATGAAATCCTTGTACTATCATGATCATAACATTATAGGGTAAGGTAAACATTTTTTAAAAATTGTATATCAATCTCAGTGAAATTTCAAAAGTAAACTAGCAGGTTACGAGAATGCACAAGTCATAATCTGTATATACATTTTGTTCTATTTTTTCATTGAGGAGAGTTCAGTGAAAATGCATAAGAGCAGAAAATTGATTACCGGTAGTAAATTCATGTCCTGTCTGTCACGCTGAACTTGAAGCCCTGCCCACAAATTGTATCAGGGCTTGAACAAAATTATTTTCCCCATTCTGTGAACAAAATGCTAGGGTCGCACTCTACATGCATCGAAATAAGCATCATTATTACATGAAATACTAATTATCAAGTAGGTATGTACATAAATAAAAATGAGTGGGTTGGATCACATTCTATGCTGTCATGCTGGAATTGCCCATTTGTTAAATCTCTCTATTCTATCTCCCTTCTCTATTTCATAAACTGTCATAATGACATAATGTTATTGAAGGTTTTCAAAAATTACATGTAAAGAGACCTGTTTATTAAGATATAGTAGGTGTTGAAAGAGGGAATGGAAACTCTTTAATATATTGATTATTTAATTGATAATGAACTACATATAGAACATGTATATGACATGAAAATAAAGTACAGCAAAATATTAAGGGGCCCAATATGTATCGCAAGCATAGAGAAAGTTAATGCGGGGATTCTGTGTCCAAATAAATTGAGGAAAAAATAATTATGATGGTGGGCACCCTGGGCTGAATGACTATAGAAGCACATTGAGAAAGAAACCACTTCACAGCTTTTGTAGGATTGCATTTTTCCTTATTCGATCAAATCCGAACTTCTTAAATTCCCTTCCCCAGAATGCGTTGTTTGCTTTTTCCCCCTCCTGATTTGTAATCTACGCATGAGATAATTTGTTGCTGCAGATCCCATCTATCAAAACTAAAATAACGCTACATGTTCGAGCATTTGATTGTGCAGCCCCAAAACTCTGGAATAACTTACCATTGGAAGTCAGGAAATCACCATCTGTGAATATCTTTAAATCAAAACTGAAAGCACATCTTTTCAAATAGCTGTAAATCTAAGCATATCCGGAGCTCTAGTATCAGAGTAGAATATATAGTTTTCTGCACTCTATAAATGTATTATTTGTGTAATGAAATTAGGTGGAGGTTGTTTTTGTTCTTGATTTGTACATTGCTTGCCACGTCCTTCTTTATTAAAGTTGGTAGCATGTTTTGGTGATCAAGTGATATAATATTATGTTGACCTTTTAATTTCCCAGTAAATTATCTCATATGAACTTTTTCATTTGTGATTTTTAAATTGTTTTACTTTGCAGTTTTTTTTTGTGATGTGTACTGTAGTAGACTTGATACATGTAGCTATTGTCTATTGAAAGACAGAAGGGCTTTAACTCTATGTTAAATGATATAGCCTTCTGGCTCTCAACAGACGATATGTACCTAGTCATAATTTGTGAAGACAACGATCCACAGATGTAGTGTTTATTGAGTTCACAAGTATTATGTACCACATTTCGTTTTTGTTGGGATTTTCTATTCATGTACCAGCTTTGCAATCACGTTATCAACACAAGCAGTTACAAATTACCATGTCCATGAGCTTGGCACAATCACACACATTTTCAATGACTAATTCATTCACAATCATGTACATTTTGATTTTCCATAGAAATTTTTTTTCTTCAATATTCTTCATGATAACACAGTGCATTGCACTTTATATATGTACCCATTTTAGTAGTGATCATTCATCGCAATCCTTTCTCACTTTGCATGAGTATGATGTTAATTTACACAGTATAATAGGACAACACTTTTCCCATAATTAGGGACTGGTCCCAAATCCCAGTTAGCTATACATTTAACTATATAACTATGACTATTTATTACGATAACTATAAATATAACTATAATTATTGCTATAACCATAATTATTGAGAAACTCTTTCTACAACTATAAAACCAGTCTCCTGAAGTTAAATTGAGAGGTCGGCATTGCAATGGAACCAAGATAATCATTCTTGAATGTTGATGAGCATTAAAATCAATAAACAACTCGGATATGTATACATGTACATTGTACCGTACAAAACCTTTTTCATATAAACTTCAGGAAATAAATTTTGTGATAAAAGTTATTATTATTGTTATCAAAATTGTATTTCTATTGATATTAGTAACGTGGGACTAGCCACTTTGGATATCTAGAGCCTTATCAGCATTCACATACACTTTGCACTTTACATCTGTTTCTCAAACATTGGAAATATGTCTTGATGACAATTGTATCTCTTTGAAAATATGTATTTAAAAATTAATAGATTGTGAAAATAGATGCTCTTTATTTTATTACTTTTTCAGTCTGAAGAATATACCGTGTTCCAGAATTCGAGATAAACCAATTCTGTGAAATCATCCTCGTAGTACCCAGTGTGGAAACGTAAAGTAAACAACATGTGTGTGTTTAATAATGCGTGCTTCTAAAATAAATAAATGCTATCTTCACTATAGTGCGCAGTCATACATGTACATGTATACTGATAACATACAAATTGTGTTAAATATATCCTCAATACTGAATACAGTACTGCTTTTATGTGTGTAGTTCATGTGTAACTGACACGTGCATGTCATGATATAAGAAAATTCTATATGATGTACTGTATATTGGATAATCACCCCCCCCCCCCTCCAACAAAAAAAGAACAAACAAACAAACAAAGAGTGAGAAAAGAAATGGGATGTGATGGGTGTCAAATGAAAAAAAAAGGATTTAAAGGTAGGTACTATGTCCTATTTGCAGCCAACATCAAATTCTGTAGAACTTTGCAGGAATTATGAATATGTCACGTATGTCCTATCTGTGAAATTTAAAAGTTAGCAGTGTCCTTAATATTCAAATTATGCAAGGAAACCTGTTTACTTGCTAGACTTCACTGTCAGACACTATTGAGTTACTGACTGACTACTTCGGTATAAATAACATACAGAAAATGAGCTGAAAAAAGTAAATGAGCATTTGTCTACATCAATAACCCACTACTGCAATGGCCAAAATTAAACTGATTGAATCTTTGCGCAGCACGAAATGTACGACCATTCGGTACAAGGGTCTGAAATCAGACTATTACTTAATGGATTTCAATTACTAAAGTTGATTCGACAATTAACGGTTGTATTTTCCCACTTAGACATTTTCAAGCCCTTTCATATTGAGGGAAGTTCTAAATTAGTATTATCTTTCATATGCCAGTGGAATTTAACCTTTTCATATTTTGGGCCTGCAAATGGGGCATAGTGCCTTTAACATCATATCTGCCTGTTCATTTCAATCATGTTTAACACTTCAAACAGACCACTTCACAAATGTATTCAGGTATAGTTACTTTCACAACAAGATCCTTTTCACCACATCACACGCATTACAGCTAGGTTTTCTGATATTGTCATGCAGCTACTGGGGTTTATCATTGCTTGTTGCAATGTCAGACATATCTCTGAAAAGATACAGGGCCACAATAACAATATTTATACCAGAGGCCTGCATTATCTGCATAAGATATTAATATATTTGTGAAGTGGTTTTTCATCTTACAGAAACTATTAATATACTAGTCATGCAAGATTTTTTCTTCTACATATTTTTCATAGTAGTGCTTAGAATGAATCATCCGTTTGGAACCAGAAGGGCGTTAAGTCTGGTTTAAAGTATACATTGTAATGCCCTTTTGCATGACTACAAACATGCATAATAAATACCTACATGCAGTTGGTAATTGTGTGATTAACTTGTATTCTTTCCTCACTTCTAAAACACTTCTTATTACTATAGACATGTAATTATAGAACCAGTCATGGAAGATTTTCTTCATTTCTATGTCTTCCATAGTAGTTCCTAGATTTAATGTTCATCTTGTGTGTAGTGGTGTGATTAACAAGTGCTTATTTTCCTCACCTCCGTAAACTACATATTGGTATTGCATTGTATAGACACATACATACACTGTACATGTTTTGTCTGCTTTAGCCTTGAATGAACTACAATTTAGTATCGGTAGATGCAACAAATACTTGAAAATCAAATATTTCAAATCATATATTTTTTCATGTTCCATGTTGATTGTTGACTGCTCCTATACTCTACATGTATTTCACCATTCAATGTTGATGTTCTAGTAGATCTAGGGACGTCTTTATCATGCAAGAGTAACCTATTCTTCAGTATTTTTTTTTCCGGGGGGGGGGGGGGGGGGTCAACATCCATTGCTTCCTTTTATCATGCTAGAATTTTGATTCTTCAGGATTTAAAAAAAAATTGCTATCATTGGAAGTTTCGTTGACTCTTTTCATTATCATCTAAATATAGGCTTATTAAATGAACAAAGGCAAAATAAGGGCTTGGCTTGGCTAGCCTGGAGCAGACAAATATATCAATTGTGCAAGTATTTGCAGTACCGGTACATTCCAAACCTTCAAAGGGAAATCCTACCTTTATTACAAGTTGCCTTTTAATGTAATGCCACTCTGGCGTTACCATTGACATTGAAAATGATGAGACACTCTGAGAGATATGTAGCAAGAAGAAAGCAATGTAGTGCACACTTCTTCTCTTACCAATAATTGCCTGCAACCATTCCTATTTTGAACGAATGATTCCTTTTTCTGGGCCTTCAAGCTATTGATTTGACCCCTAGATTCCTCTCTTTTTCTGAAATATTCTGTGTGAAAAATTTACAAAATTTAGACTGTATTCGTAATTTTGCCTCAAGAGATTCCTAATGTTTGCTGTGAAAGATTGGCATCTAGGTATGTAATTACAATTTAGAGGAAGTTTAAAGGAATTTGAATGGGCTTAGGTAACCTTTAATAGTGAAATGTAGTGGCACAAATACATGCATCCTGAAGGCAGAAGGTGTAAGAGTTATTACTGTTTGTGGATTAATAGTTTGTTTGTGTTGGTACATATTTCAATGAAATTTTAGGTCACATGAAGCTTAATCAAGACAATACATGTATTTTTAAACAGCTATGATTTTTTTTAAAGGCTATATTTAGCATTTGCATCCATAAATGCTTACTTTTCTAAAATCAAGTCATGACTTTACCATATTCTATTTATTTCCATTGCATCAAATGAGTTCCTGTCATCCTATTAAACAAAATAGTGGCAGTGTTTGTCTGTGACTACTTAAAGGCATTGTTTAACAATGTGAAGTCGGAGATGCATGGCCCTACGTGTTATCAGTGTCTGTGATATGGTGTAATATGAAAGGCCCTACAAATATTGCACTTCAAAATGATCAAGAAGTCCCTCAAAAAAGTAAAAAATTTGAGTGACCAGTTTTACCATACCGGTACTTATTTTTCCCAATAGACCGTTAGGAAAACGCAAAATTTGATTTTGATTTTCAGTCATAAATATCTTGATAATCGGACAGACGATCGGCTTGTAAAAGTGGGAATCCTGACTGACCTAAAGGTTTATAATTATCATTGTAGCATTAGCTAAATCCAGGAATTGTTTCAGAATCTGAGACAAAGTTACCCAATCCCTTTAAAGTAAAATTTAGCTATTTCACATACACCGATTTGACATACGGTACAGTGTACATATGACATGTACATGAACATGTACATTTAGGTTACCACGTATATGCAGCATTATACAACATGTAGCTACTGTGTGTCGGTCTAATCCATCTGTTCTTTTGATGAAAATATCAGCAAAATGCATACATGTAATTGATATTGTTGTGTGTTTGTAACAATCCTTTGTGATAATCATTATTCTGCCCATTGAGTATGTATTTCTATCTTTTCCTAACATTTCTGCTTGGGGCTGTGGAGGAAAAAGAAAAAAAGAAGCAATTACTGTACTAATGTCTCTCTGTCAATATGCATTTAGCTGTAGGATTTCTTTCAGCTTTATGGCTACAAATAGATATTTCATGTACAGTCTGTCTTGAGATTAAGATATGTATACCATGTGCCATTATTTATGTGTGTAGCATGAACAAGATAATTTCCTTAATTACTCTTATGTTCCTTCTCTTTCTTTGTAACTGCAGACTCAGACTTATATTTTTCTAATTTGTTTATCATATTTTGAAGATTGTACATTAAATCAAGCTCATGATAATATAACTGTTAGAAATGGTTCTCATCATGTTAACGTATCACATTTGGTGCTATACCAGCATTTTTTGTTGATATTTTGCTTACCGATAGTATTAAATATGATTTGATTATATTTCTCTTTACCATAAAGAACTAAAATGATTGTGAAATTATATAATAATATATTATCAGTATGAAGATTCATACTAGATATATGTATAATAATGTTGTTTTTTATCTTTCTTTATTGATCAAACTTATTCTAATTTTGTTTTTCATCCCGCTGTCTTTATTTTTCTCCTTACTCTTAATTCTCTCATTCTTGTTTCTCACTTTCTCTCATCCCCTCTCTTTCTCTCTCTTTTTCTCTCCCTTCCTCCCTCCCTCCCTTCATGTCTCCCTCCCTTCCCATCTCCCTCTCTCTCTCTCTCTCTCTCTCTCCCTTTCCCTTTTCCCCCATCCCCTTCTCACAATGCAGGTCATAACTGTCTACAGCTTGCCTGGAATGGACTCTGACTGGATGATGGGAGAGAGAGGTTCACAGAGGGGGAAAGTGCCCCTCACGTACATGGAACTTCTGTAGGCAGGGGATGGGAGGGGTAAAATGTAGTTATACAAACAGGGATGTTCAACCTTACACTATTATGTTGCTGAGTCCCGGCATGCAATCGCATTGTTGAAGAAACAGTCTAGAACGCAGTCTGAGTATATGTACCAGCATTTTTCAACCTTTTTTAATCGCGGTACCTTTTTGAGAAATAAAAATTCAGTTGCGCATCACCCTAATCCCAAATTTAAACAGACTACCGGTATTCATTTTGCAATCGAAGAGACTACACAAATGTGTACCTTCAAAATGCGGTCCAAAACTTTACATTATTCTTTGTCATATCATTAATGCGAGGTCACCAAGAGCGATCCCATATATGTGACCTTGTTTCTATGATATTCTTTCACATAGGAATAAAAACAAAAGTGGAAACATTCAAATTGCCCTTCAACATAACTACAGGTAGAACTTATCCTTGTCTTTATCAGTTTAATACCCTGCACTTGATATCTCATTACCTGTAATATAAGCTTGTGATAAGAGCCAAAAGGGCCATTAATCAATATCATTTTACATAGAAGCCGCATTTACACTGCAAACAAAAATTATCAATTTGTTTCAAATTTCGATGAAAAATCACAATCGAAAAAATCCTCCTCTGGAGTGTTTTTTTTATATGCCTGCCAAAGTTTCACTGATTTTTTCAGTTTAGCTGCAAACTTCGGTAAGAGACTGATTTTTTGTTCATGTGACTCTCTTCGCTTCCATGCAGGCCAGCACTGATGAGTGGTACATGCGCATATGAGCAAACTTTGACTGTTTTGTCATGGGTCCTGTCAGTAGTGTAAATGGTAGTAAAACAAAATTGATGATTTTTCAAAATGGTGTTTTGGATGTGTAAATAGGCCAAGGGTTCATGTTTCCTTGCTTCTCATCAGACAATATCCTAGACACTATGAACATGACTGACAATGAGAGCGGACAAAATATACAGTTCCTCAGGTAGACAAAGGAACATCCCTTCACAGCTATTATGTAAAAAGGTGAATATGCATGTGACACCTGTTCTACACATTTTTACATAATAGCAGTAAGGGATGTTCCTTTGTCTACCTGAGGAACTGTATATTTTGTCTGCTCTCATTGTCAGTCATGTTCATAGTGAGACTTGGCTTCCAAGCATAGTTATTTTAGCCGTGCATTGAAACTTTTAGCCGTGGGTTATCACTTTCTGATTGGAACCTTCTGGCATGGTAAACAACCATCTTCTTGAATTTCATAAGTGGCTCAGTTTTATGCTGCAAAATTATTAAAGCACAACTCATGTATGTGATTTTTTGTAATTCAAGAAATTTCTAGGTTAACAGTAGTGATTCCAATCAGAAGTTTTTCTTCTTAAGTATGGTTATTGTTGATAATTGCAAATTAGAAATGGACTCAATTGGACTCATTCTAATTTGCAATTATGGAAAATCAGCGATATTTATAATCTGTTTATACACACATTCACACTCTATTATGTTTTAAAAACTTGTAATAACTTATCCAAAACTTATCCATATAAGATACTCAAAAGGACATTAACTTCCCAATTGAAACAAACCTTTCTAGGTATACTAGCCATATTTTGATGACCCATTTTCCACCATTATTGACTGTAAAAGAACATGTAGGTTACATATTTGTTTAATAAAGTTTAAGGTTGGACATCCTTTAAAAAAATACAAACTTATGTTTATATAGTAATAAAAGTATTATGCATAGGTATATTTCTATTGTTTTTAAATGTAAGACCTAGTCATATTTTATTGTTAGCCTAGCTTGTGTATTTGTGTATAGACAAAACTCTTTAGCAATGACATTTTGTGTTAACTCTATGTATTGTACTTTATTAACCAAATATCCATGAACAAAGAACAAACCATGTGTTTATTGAAGTACACGTAAATTAGCTGCACTGATTAGCTGTTCAATAAACACACATTTTTGTTTTGGAAGGCTGTCAGAGGAATCTCTCCCTTGTTTAAAAATCTTAAAATACAACATAGATTTAGCTCAATGAAGTATTCTGAAAATGTCCCCATGCTTATTCATCCTCTAAAAATCCTGCCCTTTTATTTGGATATATAAGAAATGCATTTATCTCTTTCCGAGGCATAGGCTGAGTAGCGGTTTGAATTAGCTCTTATATTCCCTTCCTATCTTTTTAATAATTATTACTTGCGAGTAGTTTTGCATAGACAAGTATTATTTAATATTTCTTGGTTAATTCAATATATGATGTATGTTTAGTGCTTGCGTGGGATAATAACTTATATATTTTCTGCTAATTATATTCTTAGCCATTCCATACTAAGTTGTATAATATCTCTGTAGAAATGTGAACCACTATTGAAGCATGACTTTTAGTGTATGATATTAAAGTGCAATTACAAATAACAAATAAGCTAGTTCATTATGGTTATACCGGTACCTTAGCTTTTCTGTCAAGGGATTTATTGCCCATAGGTTTACCAGGGAAGATTGTAAAAACAATTTAAATACATGTATTTCTTGTGGAAGAAAAAAAATATATTAGTACACTGCATGGACACGTATATGATCTTAGAAGATATAAAAGTATTATTGCATTTTTCCTTATGCCACTTATCAATTCAAACTTCTTGAATATAGTTCAATTTTATCTAGTTCATAATTTGTCATTATTTTAAAGTACATGTATGTGGATATCTGTACTTACTAGTAGGTGTAACTGTATTTAAATGTAAGATATCACTGCTTGGCAGATTGTCCATTACATTGGTGTTGCATTTTAAGGTTAATGCAGATTTTACTTCAGCAGTTTCATCGCATGCATTAGAACCTACAATTAATATCAAGTCTTCTTTGGCAACAGTTTTCCCCGATAATATACATGTTCCTTAAAAAACACATTCTTTTTTAAATTGTTGATTATAAGACAATATACCAAGAAAATTTAGCAAAATTGTACCATGATATGCCCCAAAAGTCACAAGTTTTGATAAGAACTTTTAATGAGAAATACATGTGATAATAAACACATTTTGTAACACGTTTGGTTCAGTATTAAAATGTTCAAGCCCAGTCTGTAAAATCAAATTTTTTTGTATGGACTAGTTGGCATATGTAAACGTGTCAGACAATGCAACACCAATGCAATATGGCAGTCTTTATTTCACGATGTCCACCAATTTCTTCCAAACTGTTGAAAACTCGAAGTATATCTATCATTGGACAGATTTGTACGGTCCAATATTAGCTGTGTTTACTGGATATTCTATGGACATAGCATGGGTGAAGTGGGTTGGCACATGTGTATAAGTAAAATTAATAAATAGACTTGTAATATAAAGGTACCTTGAATATGATGAGTTTTTATTATGACATGTTCATGTATGCGTTACCTGTATATATTATGCCAATCTTGAGCTTCACAAAAAGTGTGTGATGAGAGAAGAAAATGAATATTGCGCAGAATTAATTTACTGAAATGAAACGGTTGAAAACTTCTATTTACACAATACATTTCAATTGATTGTGTTAAAAAAGTTTTCAACCAGTTAACTACCAATCAGATGACCTTTTTAAGGGAATAGCTTATACCGGTAATGAAAAATGTCTGTCATGCTACATGAATTGTTGACTAAAGATGGAAAAAAGAAATAGATTTATTAGAGGATATCTCCTGAAAAAAGAACAACATATCGATGCACTTACAGCAAGACACCAGTTGGCCATTTTAAATAATGCATTCAAATTCATGCATGCTTGCAGAGTGTTAAACAAGGTAACAATAGTTCAAACCTTGTGGCAGATTAGCCCTGTGCTAAACAAGTTATCCAATAAAGTCTACTACTACTACAAACTAAAAGGCCAGCTATTCCAAAACTCCACTATTCCATGTCTAAGCCAATTAATTAAAAGAGGTAAAGGGTAATATTCAGCTTTCTTTTGACACATTGCTTGCACATATTCATTGTCATGTATCACAGACTGAACAGCTAATATGCAATGTGCATTCTGACAATGGAATATTAGGTTAATGCCATACATGTAGCTTATCACTGGGTACTTGGGGAAGAACTATGCTTGAGTTTGATTGAATTACAACAAATTGCTATTGCGTAAAAGATCTGCTGAATTATTTAATACCTTCCATGTACATGCAACAAGATGGGAAAAGGTAAAGAAGGGGACAGACAGTCTGAGAGGGAGAGAGAGATATATAGAGATATATATATATATATATAAGGAGTGATACGATTAGAGAGAAAATACAATGTAGAACAGCAAGTTCAAGAAGAAAAAATTGAAGAAAAAAAAGTGTATGAGAGCAGGAAATGTGAAATGACATGGAAATGCTGAAAATGAATACCAATACGAGGACTGGGGAAAATAAATTGCACATTATGAATCTTTCATTTAAAAATGTTGAATTTATTTACAACACGTGTCATTCTCTGCATTTACATTCATTATTTCTTGATTAATAGTATGTTGAAGATAAGAATAAGAAAAAAAAACACGATGAATAACAATAATATAATAAACAAATTGGTATATAGGAGTCGTGCCATTATTTGGGAGACAATGACAAACGTTGCAATACCACATTTCACTAGAAGATGCCTCTGCTGCAATCTTCAAAATTGACAAACCTTGGTGGATCATGGCTGAATCTTTTTAAACTTCTCTGTAGTATCTTGAGCCTTTCTGTAGCGTCTAGGATTGAACACTATCTCCCTGGTCACAACAAAACTGTAAATATGTCCAAAACTTTTGTAGCGAGAGCGCAGAGATGCTCATTTGGCTCAAGAATATATCAAAAGCAACACATCCCAGCTCTAACTTGGCACTTTGGCAGCAGCACACAAAGTGTATTACAACTACGAGAGCAGGAAAGTGGCTCTAATTTTCTTTTGCCCTTGTTTTCAGGCCTGTTCCAGAGACGTTACTAAGTAACCATGCTACTTCTGTTTACAATGCTATCACATTCGCGCTTGACGAGCTTCCTTTTAGCGGTGCAGACTTTTTCTGAGCCAGTAAAGAGTTTGTAATACAGTAATAAGTACCCTCAGGCTACACTATGGAATTGGTATTACAGTTATCTAAACAAAACAAAAATTGAATTAAAATAAAAAATGGCATTATGGTTGCCCATTACAAATAGGACTAGATACGTGTACAATAATAACATTTCACAATCAGTACATTGTAATTCCAACAGCGTTTCAGATGGCTGGTGTGCACCATTTGCAATTACGTCCATCCCACCTTGTAAGTTTGTTAGTGCGATTTCTGAGTTCTACTCCCGTCCAAAGCTGCATAATACTGGTACATGTATATTCCAGACATAAAAAACTTATTTTCCCTGAATTTCATCCATTTTGCTTGAATTCCCAGACCTTTCCCCCGACTGTAAGCCTAAGGGCTTGTTCAGATATGTTGTAAAGTGTCATGGGCTTCACAATTCTGTATCTCACAACACAGAGCTCAGTGGATACACGCAAGTTTTATTTTGCAAGCAGTTGCCAATCATTTTATACACACAAAAATCCTGCAGCAGTTATTTTGCGGCGGTTTACCATGCCATATCTGAACAGACCTTAACCTTTTTTCGAGATTTCCCCTCATTTTCATGATAGCTGATCACCCAACTTAATGATACAAACTTTTAACAATTTTTTCTTCAAATTATGAGGTAATTGTTTGCCAAATATGCTGTACAAATTTTTTTCCTCATCCTTTATCCACAGTAAAATTATTGTTTACCAGGTAGGCTAATGAGAAAGGAGTCCACTTGCCTCCAATAGGGACTTTTAGATTTACACGATGAGAG